CACGAGAGCCTTAAAATTACCGATAATTTTTGAAAGGATTAAGATTATGCCACCTGAAACAGGAGGCCCCGCGGGACTGTGCCTCCCAAAAACGGGGCTCCCGCGGGGCTACGCCCCCCAAATAGGGGGCCCCCGGATTCGTGACACTTATTTTGAAATATCTCCTCAAATAAACTCAAAATTTCGGTTATTCAGGATATCTTGGAAGATGTTCGGAATTTTTCAATTGTCAAAGTAGGTACCTACCGTTTTATTGAGCGTTAAATTGCGCAAAAGTCTTGGACACACTGTACTAGTAGGAATCACTTTTTTACGAATAGTACAGTAAATAGGGATATTTTCCTAAAAAAAAAAAAAAACGTAATGGCTGAAATTTTAAGAGGGTGTTCGGGGGCATGTCCTGAGTCTAAAACTGAGTTTTCGTATTCGAGGGGGTGGGGGAAGATACTACCCCCTCTTTATGTAGGGTTGAGTTTGTTTAAATTCCCTATCTTCGGTGCTATTGCCCGTACCGTCAAGTCCGAGAGATCAAATTTGTGGGAAATAAAATTATCTATCTAATGATGATAAAATCAAGGTCATAGGACGATTTGGTGAATCACAATGGCCGGTCAAAGGTCAAAAGTGGGGGGTAGTTTTTGGTTTTTCGTGAATACCGTGAAACCGGTAGGTTTTTTCGCATACTGCTCCGATACCATTTCGAAGTACTTGAAATAACCTACAAAATGAGTGCTCAAACACTCATCTACTGTGAATAGTTTGCCGTCAATCCAACGACCAAGTTGACCGCGCGCGCTTAGGAAGCGTCAGAGCAAAAAACGCCTAGAGACATTTTCGACGTATTTTTTCCTCCTCTCTCCTTTGACAGCGCCCCCCCCCCCCCAGGGTTTCCCAGGGTTGGGTGGGGGGGGGGGTAATGAAATTTGTTTTGGCTCGACAAAATTAAAAATTCTAGGTCCCCTGAAAATTTTATCTTTCTAGCTTATCGGGAAGTACAACATCGGCGCGCGCGGTCAACTTGGTCGTTGGATTGACGGCAAACTATTCACAGTAGATGAGAGTTTGAGCACTCATTTTGTAGGTAATTTCAAGTACTTCGAAATGGTATCGAAGCAGTACGCGAAAAAACCTACCGGTTTCACGGTATTCACGAAAAACCATCAAAAACTACCCCCAAATTTGACCTTTGACCGGACATTGTGATTCACCTAATCGTCCTATGACCTTGATTTTATTATCGTTAGATGGAATTTATTTCCCACAAATTTGATCTGTCGGACTTGACGGTACGGGCAATAGCACCGAAGATGAGGAATTAAAACGAACTCAACCCTACATAAAGAGGGGGTAGTATCTTCCCCCACCCCCTCGAATACGAAAACTCAGTTTTAGACTCAGGACATGCCCCCGAACACAACCTCAAAATTTCAGCCATTAAGTATTTTATATCCTACTGAACTATTAAAACCATATAACACCTTGGTTACGATAATCATAAACAGGGTCTTAACTCCCAAGGGAGTTAAGGATTTTTATAACTCCCAAGGGAGTTAAGGAAGGGAGTTAAGGATATCATAACTCCCAAGGGAGTTAAGGATTTCCATAACTCCCGCTTTTACCTTGAATAGGTAACACTTTGACAAAAAATAGAAATTTTGATTTATGGCTTATTCCTTTATAAAAATAGACAGAATACAGTAAATTCAGTAGGATATAAAATTATCCATGTACCACGGGAATTATCAGGAGTTAATACCCACGGGCAATTGGTGTCCCTCGGGCCGGAGGCCCTCGGGACACAAACGTTGCCCTGGGGTATTAACACCTGCATAATTCCCTTGATACATAAATAACTATTATTTTCTACTTTACTATTATAGATCCATAATACCTAGGAAACGAAATACGTTAACATACCTATAACAACCTGATCCATAACGCCCGCTTTTGCGGGCGTTATGATCTATAACGCCCGCTTATAATAACCTGAGCTGTTTTTGTTGTTGTTGTTTTATTAATTTGCACTTTACCCTAGCAGCCACTAAATGTCTGACCTAAAATAATTTTCGGTCTGGCCAGGATTCGAACCCGGTCTACCATCAACGTTTCCCATGTAGTCGAGCGCGTTAACCCACAGGACCACCGTTGCCTTGCCTTATGAAATGTTTATAGGTTTATTAATTTATTTCGTTTCTAGGTACAGGTACATGTCAAAATACAAAACAATATTCTGTCACATGAGTTTAACTAATTTTAAACTTTTCGAATTTTGTCCACAATTGGAAATTTCTTTCATTTTCAACTAATTTTGTATGGTACTAAATTGATTAAAGAACATTGTGATGAGTAGAAAATAAAATTATTAAAAACTTATTATTTATTCAATTCCTATTTTTCTAGATTCAAATAAACACATTTTGTAACATTGCTAACGTAACCAACTAAACTTTATTTCCAAAATAAAAATTACAATTTTCAAAACTTCCCGAAAATAATGCAGAACCAACAACAGACTGATCCGAGTTCCAAGTGACGCTTTTTGGCTCTTCACAAATGCTTGAAAGTGAATATTCTCCATTAGTTGCCTCATGTTGATTTGATTCTGTTGAATAATTCTCTTTAACCTTTTCCAGTGAAGTTACAGAACTGGCAATCATATGCGAAACCTTGTTTTTTGAGGAAATACTCTCCTCTATATAGCCCTCCGCTACCGTCGAACTTTTCCACTTTCCATGTAGTTTCAAGGTTGTTTCAAAACTAGCTCGTGCTCCAACAAGAAGAGTAGAAGACGTGCGCCGCAGACAGTGGCCGGTGTAAGCTTTTGCATCATCTAATTTTAAATACTTTGCTATGATTGCTGGTACACTTCCTATTGTATTTTTACCAACAGGCTGACTCGTGCACCGACCGTTTCTGTAGGTTAGAAAAAATCTCCGCTCTTTTACCCCTGTCGGTCTTAATGCTGCGTACTGTCTTACTATATTCAGAGCATTTATGTTTTTCTCCTCAACAATGGTGAAACTTTTCGACGTTGAAGTCTTAGTCTCTGGCACTTTGACAAGTAGAACAGGCCCTTTATCTTCGATATCGTCAATAGTCATTTTAACCAGCTCGTCTCTTCTCAACCCACCAAAAACGCCCATGACCAGCACTACTTTATGCAAGAGATAAATGTCATTAGGCGCATTACTCATAAAAGCTAAAACTTGCTCCCCTTCTAAAACTTTGGATTTCTTCGGAACATATCCTTTAGACTTTATTTTCAGAAATGATATCAGGCGGTGGAATTGAGCAATATTGATATTCTCATTGACTATAAACGTAGATCTAAGAATCGAATACTTGGTCCATAAAGAATTTGGGCTGAATTTCTCTGACTTAAATAGAATGAAAGAAGTATTAAATCGATGCTCTAAAATCAGAATTAATCCGATAACTTACCAATTCCTGGAAGTATGCCATTAAAACTGTTTCGTTGATATCAGCAATGGCATTTTTGTCCTTCCATATTAAAAATATCCCATACTCTCTGTCATATGTTGCTCTTGACTTTACAGGCAACAAATTTTCTGTAGCTTTTGCTGCACTATCTCGTATTGTTTGTGGAATTTTTTCCATTTTTCTTTTAAAAATTTGAAAACGTGAATATTGACATGACAGGATAAAATTATAATGAGGTAGGTACAGGTAGTACAGGTACAAGGTTCGTACAGGTACATGTCGAAATATGTCAATATTTTATTATACAAGCAAGTTTAACAAACTGATAAGAGAACATTGTGTTGAGTAGAAAATAAAGCATTGTATGCACCACGGGGATTTTTAGATTATAATGCCCTTCAGGCGAAAAATATCCCTCGGGCCAAAGGCCCTCGGGCTATAGTTTCGCCTTCGGGCATTATAATCTACATAATCCCCTTGGTACATAAATAGCTATTTTTTGTAGTAAATGCGATTTATTCGTCTCTATTTACTGTACTATTATTTTTTCTGATAAATCGAAAACAAAAAAACGAAATTAGCGAGGCTAGCAAAACGACCCCCTGCGGCGAGAGAACCGCTTATGACGTCACTGTGCGGAGCGAAAAAACAGCTGACGCATTGGCGAGATTTGTTTACAAGTTCACATTGGATTTATTGTGTTGCTGATTCATACGCTCATAGAAAAAATGGGCCTGACACTAGCATAAAGTATGTTTTTCGCACTTGCGGCTTGCACGAATTCCGCTAGCTCGTCGTTCGTGCAAATGCCGTTGCGTGCGGGAAAGTATAACTTTCCGCCCTTGTTACAGGTAAATAACTATATATCATTGTTCAAATGCAACTATACCTACATCTAATAACTTCTGTTTTACTTCTACTCCAATAGACTGGAGCTGATTCAAGTCGACACTTGACCAAACATTCTGATACCATGATAACGAAATAAACAAAAAAATAGTAGATAACGTCCACATCAGTTGGCAGATTATGTGAATCGGCCTTTTGAAAACCTTCCTTCATTTTAGCCATAGTACCTTTTCTCTTTTCTACCTTAATTTCGATAAACCCTATAACACAGAGATCGACATGAAGGAGATAGCAGCAATATCAAAATACTTGTTAAACGTTAAACAGACTCCCTCGTTAAATTAAAACCGAACCATAATAATAATAACAATAATATTAATATCAATATTCTTTATTGCCAACAAAAATCGCAAAAGCAACGTCACAAGAGGCTGATCCAAGTAGCTAGTAACGCCACTGTACTTGCGCGTGCTAACTTATTACGCATTGTGACGTCACTCAGCATTTCGTGCGTTTAAACGAATATTAATATTTCGTCTCCGTTTTTCTCGTAGAAAGAATTCTCTGATTTTCGTATAATTTTGTTGATTTACTTATAAAATGATGCTTAATAATTTGATGATGGTTAAACGGAACATTCCTATTGTTTATTTATTCATTTGTACATTTATACTATTTTGTTGAATTTATTATTATTGTTATTGTGATAAATAAACTATTATTTATTTATTTATTTATTTATTTATTTATTTATTTTATTTAAAGGGTTCTCAGACTCAAACTTTTTTATAGTAGCGGCGCTACCTGCTTAGAGTACCGGTGATGGCTGACATATTTCTGGGATGAAAAAATGTTGAGCCCCCGCAACTGATCACTCCTTTATTGAATAATTGGATTTGGTTTCATCGATCTTCTAAACTCTCGTTACTCAGAATATTAATTTTTTGGCCCGATTGAAAGACAGCTTTATTGGAGTGAAAAGCTCTCAAATAAAATTTTTACATAAAACTAATAGAGAGGCTATCATTATTTGAAAATGTAAAAACACTTTATTAATACGTGACAGCTACAGTTGCATTATTTTGAAGAAATTGATCTATCGCATTATTGATAGCGCTTACAATAGACTGAATTGGGGATTCAATAATTAAATTGATTACACTTAAAATAATTCCATGGAAAAAAGTGGTGAATACTCCAATCATCAGATCTATAATCCAATCTAAAAGTCCTAGTCCAGTGAATTTGAAAGAAATTGTCCTAAAATGTCCATGAATGATAAGTAGAAAATAAAGAGGTAACGTATTTTTCACTCACCCGCTATCTTTAACATTAGCTTTACTGGCATAAGCGTGGTAGCTAGAGAAATTAAATCCTAACTCAAGTTCTAACTTAAAGTGTTTAATTTCAGCTTGTACGTCTCCATTGATACTTAAAAGAATTATTTGTGTATGATAATCATAGGTAATCTAAAAATAATTTGAAGATTAGAATACATTGAAGATTTACGAAAAATGTTCTACTAACCAGAAAACAATCGAAGGATATTGGTAGCACAATATCCAAAACTTTAGTTGCGATAGTATACTTAGCAATAACTGAATCACATACTGTAATTGTTGAGGCATCTGACAACCATCCATTTTTTAAAGTAACACTCCCAGGAAACAGCTGAAAATAGTTATTTTGTTATTCATACATTCATACATCAAGGGAATTATGAGGGTGTTAATTCTCCAGGGAAAAGTTTGTGTCTCGAGGACCTTTGGCCAATTGCTCAAGGGTATTAACACTTGATAATTCCCGTGGTACATACATACTTTTATTTCTTACTGAATTTATTGTATTTTGTCCATTTCTATAAAGGAATAAACTATAAACCAAAATTTCTATTTTTTCTCAAAGTTTCACCTATTCAAGGTAAAAGCGGGAGCTATGAAAATCTCCTGCGTGGGAGGTATGATATCCTTAACTCCCACGCGGGAGCTGTGAAATCCTTAACTTCCATGCGGGAGTTAAGACTCTGCTTATGATTACCGTAACCAATGTATTATATGGGTATAATAGTTCAGTAGGAAATAAAACCTATTCATGTAGGTATAGTATCCGCCAGAGATAATCGAGATTCGTACAAGAAACCTCTTGAGTACAAGATTATATTGGATTGAAATTTTCAGTTTAAACTATTCTAAATAATGTTTAAAATTATTTTTCAATTTTCCTTAAAGATCTTTCAAATATTTAATGCAATAATACTATACGCAAAATGAATTTAATTCATGCTCTTGGACTAAATTTATTCTCAACCCTTATCTGTAGAGTTTTTGCTGCGGTTTTTATTTATGCGGGCATTGCCGACAAAGAAATAATTTTTTGTAGGAATCTCAAATCGCTGTGGCGGCGACTATAACAAGTGTGTAAAGTGAACAAAATGCTCTCTAGCTACACACCTGTTGTACACAAAAAAAAAATCTACTAACAACAATATTATAAAGCTTTAAATTTGGAAAAATATACCAGAACTTTACGCCCTACTGTCTAAAGTAACTTACTTCACTAAAGTCCGACAAATACCATTTTAAAGTCACGTGATACTGGTGACAAAAAGCGTATGTCCATTGATTATGTCGTTGATATCACCTACAAAAAGCTACTGGTGGTTAATTACTATTGAATTTTAATATATGTTCCCACTAGCATTTTACAAACGCGTTTCTGAAGTAGTATTGACCAATCAGAGGGCAATTTTAATACTTGCAATTGTTGCGAGACTCACTTTTGTCACATCTGCTGTCTATTGTAATACATTCTGAACTTAAACTGGATACCCGTTCTCTATTTGCTTCTTTTCGAGTTGGAAAAAGGTTAATATAGTCAAAACTATTAGCTGTGTTTGTTCGTTGTATTATTTTCGAAAATAACTTTGACAAACTAAATGATGACAGTGACGGATTCTATTTCAGGTAAGAATATTATGAACAATAATTAGACACCAATTTTTTTCAAATCACCGCTGTTTGAGATGTATTTAACAAGGATAGAGAAAAATCACGTGACTTTAAAATGGTATTTGTTAGACTATACCTAGGGTGTAAAGTAAAATATCATTTTTAATGCAAAAAAAGGACAAAAAAGGTTTTTTTAATATCAAGATTTATGCAATACATACAATTTATTAAACTGTTTTGTTGGGAAAAGTGAATTAATTTACGCAGCGTAGGTAGTAGCTGAATATACTTTCAAATAAAATTGTTACCTACATTGATTGTCTCATCGGATAATTCCATAGGATCATAACCCTGCCTCACAATAACTTCTTGAACATCGGTCATGACCCCGAGAACATATTCTGTAACATCTGCTTGAACATATCCTGCTCTGTAAAAATAATAAATAAACCTTATGGTACCTACTTCATGTTTTTGGTTAAACTTCATGATCTATTGAAAGATGAATATATTATGTACATATTTCTTTGCATAAATAATTCAAAAAATAGTTTTTCTTACTTCAGTTCTCCTTTGGTCAGGACAATATCTCTGATATGCTCCCATGATACTTTAGGCAGTATTTCTTGAGAAAACTGAATAGGTGCCAATTTCTGCGGCACAATACCATCTTTCAGTTGGACCTCATAACCAAAAGCGACCTGACAGGCAAAAACAAAAAAAAATACACTAACTTTCATTTTACAAGTTTGCAGAAGAGTTTAGGTTTCAAAACTATGTTTACCGGGGGAAAAAAAATTAATTTAAGTATATGATTTCTTATCTCGTTATCAATATTGAAGTGATTTCTGCTATCTAATTTTTTTCCTTAAACACACCTGAGGTACTTGACAACCTTAATTTCGGAATAGCGCAAATATTAAGTACTCTTAAAAAAGCCGGCGCCACAAGATGTGTCCAACCATTGGGATCAACGTTGGATCCAACGTTGGGTACAGTGTTTTGCACTCTACAATTTGGTAAATGTGTCCGATGATCGTACGGCTACACGATGCCACAAATCGCTATGTATCCAACGTTGAAAGACATCGTGTAGCGCCGGTTTTTTTTTTTACAAGAGAAATGAAAGAATCTTTCGCATTTTCTTTTTTTTTATTTCGAAATATTTATCTCAGGAGAGCAATAGTAAAGTATTTGGTGAAATTATGAGTATTTATATTATTCAAAGGTAAAAACTGGCACAAAAAAAACATCGGCCTTATTCAAGGTTTCTAAAGTTGATAGGTTGCCTGGTAATGGCTAACTAGATGACGCATCTGGGGTACCTTATGCAGATTTGTATTATGTTGAGGCATAAAAATGACGTCATAAAAGTTATCAGGCAACCTCCCTCTTCTAAACAACCTTGGGTCTTATTAGAATAAATGGGTACAGGGTGATCTATTATAAATGTCACCCCCTTCTAACATTTTTGACAAAAGTGTCAAATACAAAAGTTTCAAGAAATTGTCGAAAGTTTTCAACTAAGTCAGTTTTGGGCATACAGGGTGCGTCAAAAAAGTGCAGCAGTGTGAAGTTATATTTTTTTTTTAAAAATGGAACACCATGTATATTATGCGCTTATTTGTTAGTTCTTTTTGACCTGATTTCAACGATATACGGTTTGATATGTCTATCTTCAATAGTTATAGGGAAAAACATGTAAACCCCGTTCAAGGTTTCATATTGAAAAAAAAAATTATACTATTTAGGCTTTAGAATTTTTTTTTTATGAACAGTTTATTGTTCAAATTTTATTCATTAATATACAAGGTGAACTATTATAATAAATCCAGATGTCCAAGTTAATATTATTATTTAAAAAAAAAATAACATGAGAGACCTAGGAAGGAATTTTCGTGTTTTTCCCCATAACAGTTGGAGATAAAACGAGAGATAAACATATCAAACCGTATATCGTTGAAATCAGGTCAAAGAGGACTAACAAATAAGCGCACAATATATAGGGTGCTCTATTTAAAAATTATAACTTCACGCTGCTACACTTTTTTGACGCACCCTGTATGCCTAAAACTGACTTAGTTAAAAACTTTTGTATTTGACACTTCTGTCAAAAACGTCAAATGAAAAAGTTAGCAGGGGGTGGCATTTATAATAGATCACCCTGTACAGTTTGTGAATTTTACTTATTTTGTTTGCAAATATGATTGCATATTTAATAAGCTATTTTTGAACAATCTATTAGGTCGAGCTAAAAAAATCAATTGTCGTAAATTGCCTGATAGCGTCTGCTGGGGGGGGGGGGGGTTTATTTGAAATGTGCAATTCAAATTCGTCTAAGACGCATTTTTTGGCATTGCAACAATAAAAATTGACTGAAACAAATCAATGACGTCAGAAACGTTCGTCGGTTCTTCAGCCAGAAGTCATTTATTTTAATTTGTCAAGAAACTTGAATGTGTCATGACGTGTTCGATAACAAAAGTATGAACCCTCGAGAAACGAACCTTACTTAAAGCACATAGGTACTGATTAGTTTGCTTTATAAGTATGTTATTTTTATTATCAGTACCTACCTCAACTCTATATGTAATATTACTATTGTTATCTATATTCTGAATAAACATTGATTTTTGTGGCATTGTTGTTCAATTGTCACAAAGCCATTTGTTTTTTGACAAGAACCCTAAAAAATGGAAAAAAAATTCTTACCAACTAATGTTTTGCTTAAATCCCTTAATTTTTATTTATTTTTTTCCATACCTACTGGTAAAGTTGCTTTTAGTGCCGGTACTTTTGCTCTCATTTGACAGCCGTTAAAAATAATCAGGGGTTTGAATGTGCTCTAACCACATCATACTTATAGACCTTGGCCCATGCAAAACTTTGACGACTTATCAAATTCGTTAATCAAGAGCAAAAGTATCGGCCCTTAATCTACTAAAAATAGTACCTAGATAAAGTGGTACTTTAACCGCGAGGGTAGATTAAATGCTACTTTAACATCAAGGATAGATAAAGACGTTTATTTTGTCAAAAATTGATATATATTTTGTTTTTTTGTTTATTTGTCAAAGTTTGTCAAACAAATTTCTACTTATGCAAAAGCGTTCGACTCAAATAATTTCTTAAGTTTTTTCGAAACTACACGCGTCCATAATTAGGCTATGGAAAAATTCCGTGTTTCGTAACGCAGAAATAACTATTCCCGCGTAACATAACGCAGAAATAACGTTGAGAAAATAAAAAAAATATACGAAATAGCTAATAGAAGATTTCATTATGAATGATTTTGGCAGAAAGTCGACAAACAAAGTCACATAACCTATAAATAGCATTGTCAATGTTATTAATTTTTTTTCAATTAGGCATTCCAACGACCTGTCAAAACTATTCCAAAATGGCGTTCGTGGCGGAAGTTCCTTATTTCCTATATGACAGTACACAATTTAAAGCTTTTTAAAGTGGATTGTGTGGTTATTTTGTGACTAAACCCTATTTGTTTTTTCATTTTATTGACTTCATTAGGCTTTTTTCTAATTAAAAATGCCACAAAGGTGTCTTGTAGTTGATTTCAGAAGGCGTTTCAACAAGGATGATGTCAGGTTGTTTTCAGTGCCCAACCTTTCAAATTTTTCCAATTAAAACGTAAAAATTATTCAGTACCACTGTTCCTGCATCTAAACTAAAGCCATACTCGAAATACTTGTAAGAATCTAAGCTTTTATAGGCCTTCATTTGCTCATTGCTGTAAAAACTAGGTCAAAATGTAAACAAATGTCAACTAGTTATTTTTTCAAACTTATCGTTCGCCCACATCCCGATTTTCCTGCACTAAAGTCTTCGAATATTCACTCTGCATCTCAAAAAGTATATTATAACAAAATAAACTGTAATTAGCTCGAAAATATTTCAAATAAACTCAAGATAAACAAACAAACGTCAAATTTTCCACGCTCGCCATATTGAAAAATCACGTGGTTTGGAGAGCCTAATTTTGGGCTTAAATTTAATAATTATGGCAGTTTTGGGAGAACGTGATATGTTTTATCGAGAGGCGATGAAGCGATGTGTGTTTGGTGATTGTAAAAGTGATAGTCGAACGAGTTCCATTAAATTAACGACCCCATTTGCCTCAACTGGAGTTTAAGGTCACACAGCATCTTGTCAAATCTACGCTTTCGTAAGTATTCGGTGCATTCGCTATGGCTTCTTTGGTTGCAAAACATTTGATAAAATTAACAGAGAGTGATGTGACAGGTGCTGTCTTACCTACCTAAAACTCCAGTAGAGGCAAATGGGGTCGTTAATTTAATGGAACTCGTTCGACTATCACTTTTACAATCACCAAACACACATCGCTTGATCGCTTCTCGATAAAACATATCACGTTCTCCCAAAACTGCCATAATTATTAAATTTAAGCCCAAAATTGAAATAGTTATTTACCTAACAAATGCGGAAAGTGATACTTTACCGCACGCAACGGCAGTTGACCGGACGACGCGAAGCGGAGTTCGGTCAAGCCGTTAAGGGCGGTAAAGGCACTTTCCGCATGTGTTAGGTACAAAATTTTACCTATGAGCATCTACATCTCCAAAAAAGGGCATTGATAAAATTAATTATTGAATCAGATTAATGAATGAAATTAGATTAGATTTGGAAATTATCAAAAATCCATTTTCTGGAAAAAAAAAGGATTTTTGATTATAAATATCAAATTCTACTTAACCGCACACTATGCGGTAAAGTGCACTTTACCGCACACTTTGTAGTCCACTTTACCGCATACTATGCTGTAAAGTGCTACTTTCCATTTGCAAATACGTGCGGTAAAGTGCACTTTACCGCACGCTCGTAGGTAAAAAAATTAATAACATTGACAATGCTCTATTTAAAGGTTATGTGACTTTGTTTGTCGACTTTCTGCCAAAGTCATTCATAATGAAATCTTCTATTCCGTGTTTCGTAACGCAGAAACTATTTCCGCGTTACGTAACGCAGAAATAACGTTGAAAATAAAAGAAATATACAGTGAGCACTGTAAAGGCTGGAATAAAATCTATAAAATATACAGGGTGGATATTTTTCAAAAAACCTCGGACAGATCAATTTTTGAATTTAGCGGCCGTTTTTTTGATGATAATACCATGTATACAGGGTGACTCAAAAACAAGTTATGACTAACTTTATTTTTTTTAAATGAAAACACCAATTTTTTATTATTTTCAAATTCTAAGTTAAATTCTGAACCTATTTCATGTATCATGTCCTATACCTATCTTCAACTGTTTCGGAAATATTGACAGTTGAAAATTGACTTTTTCGCGTCTTGGATAGGCTGTAGAACCTAAACGGTTAAGTTTAGAGCAAAACCGATCATACATTCTTGTCTTGGTTTTCCATAAACTATCATTTGACACCAACTTTGAATTTACCCGGAGATTAAATTAAATTGGAATTTTTAATCATGGATTAAATTCAAAGTTGGTATCAAATGATAGTTCATAAAAATCTAAGATAGGAATCTAAAATCGGTTTTCCCCTAAAATTAACCGTTTAGGTTCTACAGCCTGTCAAAGTTGCAAAAAAGGCAATTTTCAACTGTCAATATTTCCGAAACAGGTGAAGGTAGGTATAGGACATGATGCATAAAATATGTTCAGAATTTAACGTATAATTTAAAAATGGAATAAAAAATTGGTGTTTTTTATTTAAAAAAATAAAGTTAGCTGTCATAACTTGTTTTTGGGTCACCCTGTATATATGGTATTATCATCAAAAAAACGGCCAATAAAATCAAAAAACGACGTGTCCGATA